ATATATATATATATATATTTATATATATTATATATATGTATATATGAAAAATATATCAAAATACATGTGGGTACTCAAATGAAAGCTCTTGATGAGTGTAACATCGGGATGAGCTTATATCTTTAAAAATGTCGATAGTTGAAAAAGTACAGTGCAATTTAACAAAAGTCATTATTTAATAAAGCAAAGTTTTATTTATTTATAGTTTACAAGTCCCGGCAGTCACATAGTGACTGCAAGGTTGCTAGTAATAATAATAATAATAATAATAAAACGTAAATTTTTTTTTCTAGTTATTATCCATCGACCTTTTATAGCTAAATTTAGTATTGAAAAAAAAAATAATTACTAACTGTACATTTAAGTCTAATTGATTTCTTCAGTAGAATTTTTATGAAGAAATAAAAAAATTTTGAAAATTCTTTTAAAAAGTCTTTGAAAAAATTAATTTAATAATAATAGTTATTGTTATTATTTTAAACAAAATTTTTTAATGATAAAAAAAATTCCAAATTTTTTTACATTTCTTCTCAATATTCTCAAAATTAGTTTTTTTTCCTGATTTAAAACTTAAAAGAAGAATTAATAAAATAAATATAATAATAATAATAATTGTAAAAAAAATTTATTTTTTATTATTATAAATATTTTAAAAATTTTTACAGAGAAACTCCAGTAGAAACTTTATCGATAGACGATGATGTGATAGAATTATCAAATGAAGAAAATGATAGTAATGAAAAAGAAGAAAGTACAATAAACGAAAATGATGTAAAGGCGCCTGTTGATAAATTAGAGTTACACCAGACTGAATTTCTCGATAAACTTGGTCTTATAACAATATCTAACTTTGATAAGTTACAAAGTAAAAAAGCAGAAAGAAAACGCAGAAGTCGCGCTAATCCCCAGTTTGTTTGTTCTAATTGGGAATTACCGACGGTAATATTTATTTATCAAGTTTATTATTTTTTTTTTATAAACTATTTTTATTAATTTTGTTAATTTATTTTATGTAGAAGAAAAAGAGACACTCGTACTTACAATCAGGGAACGCGCCTCAGACGAGGCAAACGACGGCGAGACTCAATGGACCCTCGCCGCCTCCGCCACCGCCAACGGCGACGTCATCTGGCCACAAAGTTCAAAAATCTCAGTCGGTGACAAAGAGCGTAGCTGGTTCTCCGCCACCCTCGCCATCATCGTCTTCCTCATCGCAGTCGTCGAGCTCAAAGTCACTTCTACCTGCTCAAAAGCCCTCGGGAAAGCCAAATATTCTTCGGAATTTGAATGAAACACTTGCTCATGGTGGCTGTAACAAAACACTAGAAAATGGTAGCAAAAGCCAAACAATTACTTCTAATTCAAACTCTGTTAAAAGTTCGCCGTCAAAGGTTATGAATATACCCGGGTTGCCGTCAAGTCTCACTATTGAGAAAATAGAAAATGATGTTGTATGCATACATTGTAGGAGTCCAGGTATTTTCATTAATTTTTTAAAAATAATATTTCAATTTTTTTTTTTTTTAATTGAATTTAATTATTTTGATTAATTTTTTAAAAATAAAATATCAATTTCTTTTTTTTTTTTTTTAATTAAATTTATTTATTTTAATATAAAAAAATTAACTTATAGGAATGTTATCAACTTGTGAAAATTGTTCAGCAAATTATCACCCCTCATGTCACGTAATTTTACCACCACCTCAAAGACAGTGCCCGAAATGTTATGAAATGAATCAAGACAACGAAGTGACGAGTCCAGTTATTAAAAAATCCGATGAAATAGGTAATTAATAATTATAAATTATTTTTATTTATTTAGGAGTAAGATATAATTAATAAATGAAAGTTAGACAACTAAAAATTTTTTTAATTTATATTTTGAAAAAATTTTTGCAAAAAAATTAATTTGTAAAATACTTGAAAAACTATAAGTGCAATTTTTTAAAAATATTTTTCATTTCCAATTTAATGAAAAAAAAAAAACTAATTATAAATGTCGGCTAACTTTAGAACTATAATTAATAAAGATGATAAAAAATACACGCGTGTGTTAGTCAAAACGAATTACTAATTTAAAAGAGGATTTGTTTTTGAATTGATTAAAATAAATGCACATTGTTATCTATTGTACGCGAAATATGTACTCGTTGCAGAGGAAAAAGAGCGAGAAAGATACGAGCAGCGAGAACGAAACGCGGATCTAAGATTGCAGGTTTATGAGATGGAAAAACGATCCCAGCTGCTCGGCCAGTCACTTCAGGTTCGTCCTGTGGCCTGTGTAGACAAAAAATAATTATAAAGTTAAGATATTTGTTTTGTTGGAATGCTCAAATTTTTATTTATTTCAGTTATATTTTTAGTTTTTTTCCATGTCAATTCAAAATAAGATTAATTCCTCTTTATCTATTTTATTTTAAAACCTGCAAGCTCTTGGATTTATTTTTATAATTTACGCCATTGTGTCACATACGCTTATTACGAATAGATTTCCCCAAGGTTTTATTTTCTTTTTTTATGGAAGAATCGTTCAGTCGTTTTTTTGTCAAAGAATTCATTAAAAACTTTTCTTGTTCTAGCTTTGGTTAAATTTAGTAGTAGCAAGAGATTTTTTTAAATTATTTTTATTTTTAGATATGAAAATTTTATTTCATGAATTTTTATTATTTGTATTTAAAATTTTTAATACAATTATTATTATACGAATAAATATAATTATAATACGAAAGACTGAATGATTTATTTGATCTGCACAAATGGCATGATCGTCGTTAAATTAAAAATTCAATTACATTTTAAAGTATTAATTTAAAAAAAAATTTTTAATTAAGTTTTTTTAAATATTTATCTTAAAAATTAATAATATCACGGAAAAACAAGATGACATTAGATAACATCCCAGATTATACTGAGTGATATCTGTATTATACTATAATACATCTATTATGTATTTTAGATTTTTGGATAGTTAAATATTGTTATAAATAATTATTGTATAGATAGAAAATAGTCAAAAAAATTTTTTTCTCTTATAAAAAATATTTCCTATATATACAATAATTATTTAAAACAATATTTGGCTATCCTAATATTTAAAATACATAATTGATATGATAATGCTGTGCGCAGGCGCTAGAAAATAAAATGGTGGAGATATCACTGGGTATAATCTGGGATGTTATCCAGTGCCATCTTGTTCTTTCCATGTACAAAATTTAATTAAATTTTTTTTTTTGACAAATTAAAAATTTTAATTATTAACTTATGCGGAAAGAACAAGATAACACTGGATATCATCCCAGATTATATTCAATGAAAAAAATTTTCAAATAATAGCTAGTATAATCCAGATTACAATGAGTATAATATAATCCATATATTACGCAGTATAATCTGGATTTTTTTAGCTACTATATGAAATTTTTTTTCACCACAGATATCACTGAGTATAATCTGGGATTATATCTAGTGTCATCTTTGTTCTTTCCGTGTACTACATTAAAAAAAAAATTCATTAAATGCATTTTTTATAAAATAAATAAAATATCTAAAAAAAATTTTTTTTTAAATATTTAAATAAAAAAATGCATTTTTTGCAACCCTGCTAAAAATCATCAGCAATAATTATTAAACCCCAATCATCATCTAGCATAATTATAAAAATCATGACTCAAAAATAATAACAATAATATTTAAAATACCAGGTCCAGCACCGATTGAAGCAAGAGCTGCTGAGCAAGCAGGAGAAGACCCAGAAGTCAATAAAGAGACTGGTGGATTTCATAAAATTGATGCAACAACCCCCAGCTTCAACTCAAACTTCGGGGTCCAGCAGCTGCCACCATCAATCCAGCTCATCCCCATCGGCTCGGGGCCGCTCTCCAGCACCAACATCACCCAGTCCAACCACTCGCTGTTCGCAGGTCCGCTCAACATCTCCAACAACTTCATCGGCGGGCCATCGAACGAAAACGCCGTCACCTATTCGCCCGTCATCATCAACCAGTTCCCCTCGCAGCAGCCCTGCATCGGGCCCTACATGCAGCCGGACCCGCGACTCACTTACAACTACGGTGTCCCCATTGTCAGTTCCTCAGACCACCACCATCACCACCACCACCATCAACAACACCATCACCATCAACAACATCACCAACACCAGCAGCAGCATCAGCAACAGCAACCACATTCGTTTCTTATCATCAAAAAGCTATCCGATCCTTGTGTCGGTGGACTCGTCACCCGCTACCCAACCCAACCTCCGTGCCCATCAACCATCGGCTACAGTCTGCCAATCTCCTCGGGACCAGCAATCGTCAGTTATGCAAACCAACAACCAGGCCAGCCTATTATCAACTACAGTATCGGTACAATTAATCCAGGGACATCCGCATCTCAACAAATTCTCACAAGTTCTGCCTCAGGAATTCCCATTGCATCACCCCAGGCCGGTGTTGTGAGTAATTTATCAATTTTTTTTGTTAAATATTAATTTTATTTAATAAAGAGAAAAATAGAAAAATTTAGCTTTGGTCTATTTTTATCAAAATTAATTTTTATTCTTAAATTTGGTATCATCAGAACGATCTTGATTTTAATTTGTAATTTTTTAGCATTTTATATATTTTTTGGTAATAGTTAATTTTTTTATCAAAATTTTGGAGCAATTTTAAATATTTTGTTATATTTAACGCTATCTACATTTTACAATAATAATTAAAAAAAAAAAAAAATTAATAATAATAATAATAATAATTTCAGAATAGTGAATTATTATTATTATTATTATTATTATTATTAAATAAGCTTTTTTAAAAATCTTAATTTTGATGATGATAATAACAATAATAATACTTTTTCAATTTTTAAGTTAAGGTAGTACCTCCGTGAAAAGCATATTTCAAGGAAGGAATTTTTTTTATCGAAAGATAAATATATTAATAATTCACCACCAAAATTTCAGATCAATTCACCTCACCGTTTTTGAATAATTAATTTTCGAAATTGCATTTTTTACATGTAGAGCTATAGAAAGATGGTAAAGTTAGTATGTAAATCTCCCGACCACTCAAGTGATGCAAATAGATTTCATATACTAACTTTACCATCTGTCTATTTCTCTACGTGTAAAAGATGCAATTTCGAAAATTAATTACTCAAAAACGGTGCGGTGAATTGATCTGAAATTTCGGTGTTGAATTATTAATATATTTATCCTTCGATAAAAAAAATTCCATAAGTTTCTTGAAATATGCTTTTCACGGAGGTACTACCTTAATTGGCTATCCAGTCTAATACAACAATTTTTATTTATTCGTAATAATTTTTATGTATTTCCCTCCAGGCATATACAATTTAGCCACATTTCATATTTAAATTTTTCATTCAAGATAGATTTGACTGAAAAAATAATTCGGACGGCCCAGACCAGGACTATTCTTTCTTCCGAGTTATTTTTTCCTCCGAATTATTTTTTCAGTCAAATTTATCTTTAATGACAAATTTAGATATGAAATGTGACTGAATTGTATTGTATATGCCTGGAGGGAAATACAGGCAAAAAATATTACGAATAAATAAAAATTGTTGTATTAGACTGGATAGCCAATTAACTTAAAATTTGAAAAACTATTAAAAACAACCAGTCTTTAAAAATAAATATTAAATAATAATAATATTAATAATTCATCACTTAAAAAAATCACTTAATATTTACCAAAGTTTTCTTTATAATATATCATAGCTACTATAAAAATTTTTATTTTTTAAATTAGCCCATAAAATAATTAGTAATAAAATATTATTTTTAAAATTTCATCCAAAAGTATTGAATGCTAAAAAAATATCAAAAATTTTTTCTTCATAATAAAACACTAGCTGTAGATTTAACCACTAGAATGAAATATAAAAATCTAAAAACAAAAATAATTAACCAAAATAATTCCAAACAGGCCATCTACGACCAACGACTCGCCGAGGGCCACCCAGGTCTATTCTACGAGCAATTCTCCGCGAATCGGCTCATCGCCGAGCCCCAGCGACCCAACCGGCAGCCCACTAGCCGCGCAGTGCCCAGACTCAACCGTATTCCAGTGTATGACTCGCAAAATTCCAGCACTAAGAATCCAAGTGCACCAGCTGGACCAACTAACCGAAAACGACGTAAGCATTACGTACGTAAAAACCGAGACAAAAAGCAAAAAGGATCAGTGGAGAGTGCCAGTGACAAATCCAAGTCCAGCAGCGAAGCCAGTGGTGTCTTGCGAGGAGAGACCGAGCCTGCCGATAACCTCCCCGATGATCGGCAGCAAAGAGATATCGATATCCAGCCTGGGTCAATTGTCGAGCGACTGTACCGGAGACTCGCTGAAGGCCAAGAGCCAGCCGACTCTCCGGCAAAGGGACTCTCCTCCGAGCGAGCTGACAGAGACGAGCACTTGAAATTGGAAGAAGCGCATTTATCAGCGCCACTTGCAGCAAACTTAGTCTCTTCTCTGACCAGCGACCGCCCTCACTCCTGCCCGATTGTCAAGGGGAGTCTCTACGGCGGGAGTCTTAAAGTCGACTCTAATAACAAAGAGAATGATAACAAAAACGAAAACGAACAAGGGTGCAAGGTAGTATCCAGACCCGGTCGCAGGAGTCTTGACTCCCTGCAAGCTGATCTGACGAACACCTGTCGGCTCTGGACTCCCGTTCGCAACCAGGATAATAATATTAATCAAGAGACTGACAAGGACTTCGAGCCGCCCTCTGCTGAAGACACTCTAACCGGTGATGAAAATGACGATCCAGAGTCCGGAAGGCTGGAGATCGAATTAGCTGATGAAGAGGAGGAGGAGGAGGAGGAAGAAGCCTCAGACTCCCCGGATAATATCGACGAAGAAGCTATTGTCTCTTCTATTGACATGACCGTGCTCGAAGACTTTGAATCTGCCATGCGGGCTGAAGAATGCGGCACTGCTGGCAGTTTATTAGAATCTTAATCTTAAGGCACTAAATTTTATTTTTTAAGACTCGTGCCTCAGGAAAAATTTATAATTATTGGAGCTACTATTTTTTATTTAGTAGCAACCGCTCATTTTTTTTGTAGAGTAATTTTTTATTTTATTGATTAATTGTTGATATTTTTTTTTTTTTTTTTCAATATCTCATTTCACACTTATACATATTGATGTTCTTGTTAGTTTGTATATATCGACCAAAGTTAATTAAAGTAATTATCAGCGACAGCTCGCCAAAGATACTCTGATAATCTAATAGTTGTAAATTGATCAATAATTAACAAAGGGGAGAGCTGATTTTAATAAATACGTAAATGATAAATTATTAATGAAACACGCACATATCTTGTTAATGTGTAATATATGACTATTGAATTTATTTATTAAATTTTTTGAAATAAAAAAAAAAAAATGAGACGTATGGTGAAAATTACGCTGGTTGTAATTATACAGCGGAGCCATATATTTACCAATATTGCCTTAATAGTAATTGAATTCACTATTCTGATGATTTTATTAAATTAGTGATAATAAAATATTTTTTAATAAATAGTTCGATACTTTGTAATTACATTTAACATTAATGGTCATGTTTATTATTAGCGAGGGAGCTTTTAAGTGATAATCAAACTATAGATAATTACTCAATATTTTATGTTATGCCGTTGTTTAGTTTAATTTAATAACTTATATGTTATTTTAAGATAATTATAATTGGTAGTTGTTTATCAATTAAAATTAAGGCGTTTTTGTATTTTTATGGATTCATTTTTTCGTAATAAATCCATTTATTATTGATTAATTCATTTTTTAACTCAATCTATTTTTTAATCCCTTCGTTAATTTTTTAATATGAAAATTAAATTAGCCGACATTTTTTAATTTATTTTATTGAAAAATTGTATAAAAAAAAATTTACATGCAGAAAATTTAAAAAATTATACGAGCAATTTTTTAAAATTATTTTTTTAGTTTTAATTTAATTAATAAAAAAATAAAAAATTATTGAACGTCGGCTAATTTATCAAAATTTACTTAGTATATATTTAATAATTTTACGAATTTTATAACAAATACACTGTCGCAAAAACAAAAAATTAGAAAAAAAATTTGACATAAATTTGGCAGAAATTTTAAAAAATAACAAATGCAATTTTTTTTAAATAATTTTTTTGTTAAATAAAATTAAAAGATTGTTAATTTAAGTGACTGCTAATTTTAATGTCATAGCTAATTTTAGTATCATTTTTGTAATGGACATTTTTTGAATTTAATGAAAATTAATTTAGATATTTAATAAATTTTTTAACAAATAAATCATTGATAAAAAAATCAGAAATAAAAATTGACATGTAAAAATTTTTAAAAATTAAAAATGCAATGACATTAAAGTTAGCAGTCACTTAATCATTTTTTAACAAACTAATTTAATTTTCATAATTAATTCTCTGATAGTTAGTGTCTTCTGCTGGATGCATCTGGAGAGATCTCACAACATAACAAAGTTGGCACATTTCCGTGGCGGCGCGAACGGTCAGATTTCGAAACATTTCACTAATTTACCCGTGCGCATGCGCCAAAACGAGGCAAAAATGACAGTTTTTAAATAATATAATGGCGGTGATGAGAAAAAAATTTTTTTAAATTAACACTTGTCATTTCTTCTTAATCTCTACAAGTTGAATTTATTTTTTTATAATAATTTAATTGTTAAAAAATAATGAGATTTTCAGTGTCATAAGTCATAATAAAAGACTGTATCGACAGTGAGTAAAATCATTTTGACATAACGTACACATTACTCTGTCAAGATGTCAGTGACGTAGATAAAAAACGCCGATCTATAATCCAGAAATTTATCAAGTATGTGTTGTGTAGAGGAATGTAATGTACACCTTTCTCCAGTTTAGTACCAATCCAGCATTGAAAGGCAAATATCTTGATATTTAATTTATCATTAGTGTAACTCAGTGCAGTGTATATAATTGATGGTTGATAGTTAAAATTCATCAAGGATATTAAAAATAAATAAAAGTTTATCATGACACTTTAAAAATCGTTGACTTCAAGAGAGCTGTGCAATAACAAATATTATAAACATAATAATTGATCGTGACCAGGTAGTGTGAATAAATAATTTTATTATTATTATTATTATTTTTTGTCAAGTGAGGATATGGCTTCTGGCTACTATTCATACCTCGTGAAATAATTATTATGATTAAATACGAGTACTTGCATCTGGATTAAGAATAGTATTATTTGACACTTAGCTTATGCTGGCCAAGTGAATGTTTTATGGTCTTAATCGTTAAGGATAAAGTATAACATCCGTTTGGACAACCGCGAAAACCGCGATCGAGTATTTACAAGCATAGTTGTCAAGTTGTCAAGTGGTCTGTCAAGTAATATCTTTTATTTATTTTATTTAAAAGAAAATTTTTAATATAATTTTTAAATTGTATTTTTAATCATAATAATTAATTACATTAAAATTAGCAGTCACTTGAGTATTTTTTAATTTTTTTTTTAATAAATTATTTTTATTTATTTATTATTTCCAGATATACAGTTTTATAACTATCATATATTCTCATCTCATTTAGTATTTTCCTCTTAGTTTTAGTATTTAGTATTAATAAATTATTTTTAAAAAATTGCATTTTTGATTTTTAAAAATTTTCATGTCAATTTTTTTTTGTTATAATTTTTTGTCACTAGAATTATTAAATATCTGCTGAATTAATTTTTATTAATAATTAAATTTTCATAAAATTTTTTAAATTAAACTTGATTAGTTTTTTATTTAATAATTTAATTTTTATGAAAAAAATTTATATGTAGATAAATTATACAAATTTGTTATTATTGTTATTTTTATTTTATTTTATTTTCCATTACATAAGCCCAACAGCCCAAAGGGCCAATAACAGGGCTACTTAATTTTACAAGTTGAAGATTTTGACAGTGTTTAATACTTAAATTAATATTTGGCTCTATATAAACTAAAAATTTTTAAATTTTAAAATTAGAGTGATTTTTATAATTATCAGATGACTTAGTTTACTATAGTAGCTATAGTAATAAGAAAAAAAAAAATATAATATAATGATGAATTACGACTACATATGCAGAGCTTTATGTGAATTTAAATTGAAAAATTTATTAAAATTTAATGACACTGAAGTTAATTGATAAATTTTTTTTAGCAATTAAATTATTAATGAAAAAAATTTAATAAAAAAATTCCACATGTGAAAATTTAATAAAATTATAAATGTAAATTTTTTTAAGTATTTTTTTTTGTAATTTATTTGTTATAAAAATTTAAAAAATTGAGTTTTTAGTTCATTTCAGTATCATCGAATTTTTGCAAAAAAAAAAATAGTGTTTTTTATATATATTTTTTTATTTTTAAAAAAATATATTATTTTTATTTAAAAAAAAACACTATTTAAAAAAAATAGTATTTTTTTATATTTATTTTTGTTTATTTAATAGTCGCATAAACAGCATGGTCATGAGCGACTTCAAGATTATAAACAATGTTAAATAATTATAAATAATATTTCAAGAACACATAGAAAATAATAAAATGAATATTTAAGCAATTATACATGTATGAAAATTTTATGAAAATTAATTTAGCAGATATTTGATAATTATAAAAACTTTTTCAACAAATAAATTATGGCAAAAAAAATTAGAAAAAAAAAATTGAAATGCAGAAATTTAAAAAAATTAAAAATCCAATTTTTTAAAAATAATTTTTTGTATCAAATTTATTTGTTAAAGAAACATTTAAAAATATTCAAGTGACTGCTAACTTTAATGTCATGAAAATTTTGAACCATAATAACTAAATATTTGGACTGCAATTTACAAATTAAGACTAGATTATATTTTTGTGAAAATTTTTAGCGACTTTAATATTTTTATCACTTCCTGGAGGTTCTTCTCGTCTCTTGAAAAATTATTAACGACTGTTAATTATGAATTATAGTTATTAAAAAATTTTGTTTGTAATTAAAAGCAAAAAAAATTAATGTTAATAATATTTAACTTTAAGATATGAATTTATCTTTACAACATCAGAATATTATCGGATTATCTTTAGCCGACGATTAAACGAACAATTTTATTTAAAATTAAATTAAGTGATAACTTTAATGAATACCTAGAAAAAAATAAAATAAAAAAAAACATAATGTAATGACTAGATAAAAACACAGTCAAGGTAAAAAATTTTGTAATTTTTTTTATTAATTTTAGATGCAAGTTTTAGTTATAAAGTTAAGTGTTAAGTATTTCACACTTAAGTAAATTTTAAATCTCTTTACATAATTTATTAACTCAAATATTTATTCTTTAAATTCGAAACATTTTATTTCATTTATAAAAATACTGAAGTGTTTTTCGGTTATTAAAAATTTTTTTTTAATTCAGTGATTCATTTAAAAGCTTTTTTATCAGCTATTTAATTTAGCTGTTAAAGAATTTATTTTTAATTATTAAATAAAAAAATTTTTTTAATTGAGTATTAACAATTTTATTTATGATTGCAGAGAGGAGTTTTAAAAATGAAAGCACTTGAAGCCAACTAATCAAAGATGTAAAGGACCTCACGTGCTCGACTTACCAAAAGTTCGGGCTAAAAGGAATTATATGGTACAGTTTCTGGAGTAATAAAGTCAGTCACGCAACCGGTAGTACAAAATAAAAAAATGAAGCTAGTACCGGCAATTTATCTAGGATCCACGGCGATAGATCGCCGATTTAGCAGCCCCATGTTGCCATGGATCACGAAGGAAATTAAGCGCCGAAGTAATCATGAGAGGGTATGACGCTTTCTTATTTACTTCTTACTTTTAATTAATATAATAATAATACCAGTAAGCAATTAGTTAAAAATTTAAACATAAAAAAAAACATTATAAATTACATATCAAGCATGTCTTTTAAATGCATAAAATACTTGCTTT